GTTATAATATATAATATTTATATATAAATATTTAAAGGAATTCAAAGTCCCGTTCTGTATAGTCTGTATAAATAAAAAAAGGACTGAACTTTTTTTTCTTTCATGTTGTTGTAATGGTTTCTAAGATGTTTGATTATTTTGTTGTACCAAACAAGTTGGACATTTTGACGTGTTTGTCTTTGAATATATTTGTTATTATGTGTTTTTTAAGTCCTGTTCTGTACAGACAAAAACCTTTTGTTTTGTTTTGTTTGTTTGGGTTTTTTTGTTTTGTATTTTTGTTGTTGCTGATTCTGTCATGTTCTTGTAATGATTTCTAAAATGTTTAATTATTTTGTTTTACCAAACAAATTGGACCTTTTCATGTATTTGACATAGATTTTTAACTAATCTATGACAATTTGCTTGCAAAAACCAATAAATGGGATAAATAAAAAAAACAATATGATTCTAATATGAACAATTGCCACAGACATTGATGACATTACATATTTAAGGCTTGTGCATCTGCACCAATGGAAAATGTGATGCAAAACATTGGGGAATCCTGTGTGTTTGTGTGTGAGAGAGAGCGACTGTGGGTGAGTTGTTCTTTTCTTAGACAGGTGTAACAGGAGACTAACCTGTGCGACTGCATGGCTTTAGACAACAGCATGCATTATTTAAGTTCATATTGCTTTCAATGGCCATGCCAAACCCTGTTTCAGCAGAACAACTACAGTGATGCAACACCACAAAAAAAAAATAGCAATTAGACTAGCACTTATTAAAAAGCACCTTCCTGCAGATATCAAGATTTTAACATTTGCCTCTCGCTATTTATTTAGTTAATCAACACTGTGATGCATTCCAATAATGCGCTTTCTTTCATTTAATTTCACGCATGAGCCATTAAATCAATTAGGCACTTTTCTATTAGAGTGCCAGAGACAAAGTTCACTTCAAGATGGATTTTACATTAATGAAAATTGGGGGACTTTGACTTTAAACATTCAACTTTCTACACTGAATTTTTGTTTTACATCAGCCTGTTAAATCGAAGGATCACATATCGAAAAGTTTCACTTTTTTTTGCACATATTGAAAACTTTTTGCACATACAAAACTTGCTTAATATATTTCAAACAACTGCTAGATTGCCTCTTGATAACTGGAAGAACCAAATCATTCTCATTCAGCTTTGAATAAAGCTCATTTTGTAAATGCTTTCATGACCTACATCGTTTGTGAAGTATGTTGGTCAATATCTGTTAATGCATCTGTGATTAAATGTACATTTTGCGAATTATATGCAATTAATAAGCTCCATAAATGAAGCACCAGCACAGAAGCTGAAATGCATTTTAATAGTTAGATAATAGGCTGTTCCCTTGCTGCATATGGGCCAATTATATCATTTTAGCATATCCATTTATTGTTCTGCACTATGCAGTGTTACATATGCGTATGGAAGCTTTTGATGGTGAATCCCATGGAGGTGGGAAAATGAGAGCAAAGGATGATTGGAACTGCTTTGATGCTTTGACTGCTGGAAAAGTCTTCAGACCTGAAACTGTAGAGTATATATTATCATGTCTAATAATAAGTAGGTTTATTTCTCAACTCTACAAATAGTTACTTTTCCCTGATTAAATTCAGTTACAGTTCATTGGTCTAATAATGAGTTTATGAAATTATTGATTTAGAGATTCTGCCTGGTAACTGTGCCTAAACTTCTCTTCTCCGCCGTAATTTTTCACTTGTTTACAATTGCAGATCTGAAAGGAGGCCACAGAACAAGTACAGTAATAAAGAGCTGCTAGTTTATGCCACTACTGCTGTAGGAAGTGACAGCTCTGCCAGCATTATTAACACTTCCATCAACACTCTCACCGCAGGGAATGTGCAGCTCCCCCTCAAGTGGCAATGAAAAATGTGCCAGCTATTGTGAGATTCCGAAGGGAATGTAATATGGTGCCTGTATGCTTCTGAGAGCACATTTGAGAGCAAGACAGGTAAATGTGACGGCCAATTTAAACAGCTAAACCTGTTTGGAAGTTCAAGTTGTCTAACCGTTGACAACTTTTTTTGAATATCAAAATATTTTTGGGCTGTTATACCCTGTTTGAGCAAAGTCAGTAAGGTTTAGTCCAATGTGATATTACATTAGAATTTTTGGGTAAAAGAAAATCCTCTCTGGGTCAAAATGAATGAAACGCAACACGAGGGCTATTAACATGACCTACATATCTACTTGGTTTTTAGCTAACTTTGCAGAGAATGTTCAACATTGATGTACATTTTACATTTTTATTGGTGTTCACAGAAACAAACCACATTGCTTCAAAAATAATGCATAATGTTTACACATTATGTATTTCATATATACACTTCACATCAGGAAAATTGTCTCTTTTGCACAGCAAAGATAAAACATTTATGTCTGTAAGAACATGTATAGCAAAACAATATTATGCACATAAATAATAACATAATACTTGTCTGCATTCCACCACAGTGCAAAAAACAAAAAAACAATCCTGAAAGGAAAGTAGTTTTGTAACTCATTGTTCAGTTAGTTTAGACAACACTACTTTCAGAAGAAAGAAAGAAAGACTGAGTCACATATTTCAGGACTGCTGTTTTTCTCAGTAAAAAAAAAAAAGAGAAAGAAAACGAGAAAAAAAAATAAAAAAATCCTTGACGGAAACGTATTAGGTAAACAAGATCATTCCTAAAACCTCTTACACCATAGGGGTTAAGCAGAGACTTTAAGCATCTTATTGCGCAGAGCAACTCTGGTGCTTCCATCCAGACCCCTAATGAGGGATTATTGTGCGAGTGTCTGTTAAATCCACAAACACCTCCATGGCTTGTGTCTCAAAACCTGAGTTGCCTATCTAGACAGCATTTTGGGTCACCCGAGTCAGCTGAACTCAAAAGTTTGCATTATATTTGTCTCGGTTTCCATCCATTGAGGTGATCGCAATGCTTTTTTACATTTAAACTCAACTCTTTTAATCAGTAAAATGTTTTTAAAAAGTGCAGATTATAACTTTGGCACCACTTCGATTTTACTTAAGGCGGCAATCAAGTTTTAATAAACTTGTTTTTTTTCAGTGTGCAGCAGTTTTGGCCCAAACATGTCTAGGTAGGCAGCTCACTGTGTTTTAAATCACATCCCGTGAACCCTAACACCGCGCTTTCAAGTCAAGTCGCACATTCATGCACCCAAACGCTCTTCATCATCATCTTTACCATGAAGCATCGCATGTCATTGCTGACTAGATTGTCTTTCAAATCGAGAAAGATCAGCCGACTTCTTGCGTTTTCCCATCCACAATGCCATTGGGAAGAGAAATAGTCTCTTGGTTGCTGTCTATGGAGGACTCGCTGCCCGTGCTCTCGCCGGACAGCAGGCGAGTCACCCTCAAATCGGCTTTTAGCGTCTGCACGTCGTTCCCTATACTCATGGAGCCCAAGTCATTGATAATCTGGCACAGTTCTTGTTTGCCGTTGGCCACACAGTCGCTGTCGGTGTCCAGAATATCCTCGCACTCAAAGTGCATGGCTTTCTCCTCCTCCTCCTCCCCGACCAGGTCCTCCGTGATGGAGCCCAGCTTGGGTGCGCTCCTGCTGCGCTCCACCGGGGGTTTGTAGTAACACTGTCCGTTTAGCAGCTTCCTCAAGGGCACCAGGGGAATCGTTTGCTCCCCGATCAACTGCTGTTGCTGGTGCCTGGCATCGTCCCTTCTTTTGAGTCTTTTAAACTCGGCCAGTGCTGTCGCGGAGGTCTGGTAGAGGAGCAGCGCCATGGCCTTCGCCTTCTCCGGCTTGGACACCAGCACGGCGTGACAGCGCAGCATCACCGCCTTGTGCTTCATCTCGTGCCGGTAGATCCAGGCGAATATCTTGGGGAACCGCGGGTCTGCGACACAGTAGGTGATCCTGTGCAATAAATACAGATGTCCTGGTCTCTTCGCCTTTTCGTCGACGTGGACCATGCGGATGCCCTGCGAGCTGATGGTCAACTTCATCTTGGTGCCGTTCTTGCCCATCTCGCTCTTGCCCCAGATCTTACTGACGGCCACGTCCGTGCATCCGTCCCCCTTGGACTGGATGGTGGTGGCGTTCCCCAGGTACAAGACCGTATACGTAGGGTCCTCGCTGGAGATTTTCACCTTTTTCCTCTTGGATTTGAACATGCTCCCGACTCTGTTGAGTGCGCTTTCCGGGCAGGATTTGGCGAAGGAGGTGAGCGCAGAGTAGTTGAGGCTCACGGCATAGCCCTTCTGCTTGGACTGCTGCTTGTCTTCCTCAATCAGCTCGAACTTGCTCTTCTTCCAAGACAACATAATGGTCGAGTTGAGGAAAGTGAAGCTGCTTAGTAATTCTATTACGCCTAAATTCTACCTCGAAACAAGCTCTAGACATCTATCGGCTTGCTTTAAGACATTTTCAAAGTTGCAGAGCACTTCATAGACGTGAGCGGAGGAGTATCGCATCTGACGCTATAATCGCAGCCTCGCTTAATAACACTCTGTACAGTACAAGCGTGAAGCAGCGACTTATATACCGGAATGAACCACCTCAGCCTCACGGAGGGGTCGACAGAGTGAGGACGATACCAAACCAGGCTTAAAGCTGTCTGGGGTTTTTCGCCCAGCTGTTGCTCAAGTTTCCATTTATTTATTTATGAAGGATATATATTTATTTTAAGTGTTTCATAACGGCTTATTTGTTCTCATTTCTGTACAGACTTATGCGCATGTCAAGGAGTAAAGACATGATGTAATTTTGTCTAGTTTGGGGACAATAATTTTTTCGCCCCTCAGCAAATATGATATTTACTGATTTCGATGTGAAACAAAATACACAACTTTCTTTGAATTCCTATAATGTTAAAATGTAATAAAACCTATAATATAGAATGTAATACAAATAAATATATGAATACAATGTAATTTATTATTATTATTATTATTACTACTACTACAAAATATGCTACAATAATTTTTTTAAGCATACGACCTATAAGATAATAATAATAATAATAATAATAGTATTAGTGTTTAATTATTGGTTAAATATTATAAGCATTACATTTATTATTATTATTATTATTAATGTTTGATTATTAATTAAATATTTCAATTATTGAATGTAGTATAATTATCGCCTCTCTCCTAACCCTAGGGGACAATAATTTTTTCGCCCCTCAGCAAATATGATATTTACTGATTTCGATGTGAAACAAAATACACAACTTTCTTTGAATTCCTATAATGTTAAAATGTAATAAAACCTATAATATAGAATGTAATACAAATAAATATATGAATACAATGTAATTTATTATTATTATTATTATTACTACTACTACAAAATATGCTACAATAATTTTTTTAAGCATACGACCTATAAGATAATAATAATAATAATAATAATAGTATTAGTGTTTAATTATTGGTTAAATATTATAAGCATTACATTTATTATTATTATTATTATTAATGTTTGATTATTAATTAAATATTTCAATTATTGAATGTAGTATAATTATCGCCTCTCTCCTAACCCTAAATTAGAGAGTCATGGCGCAAGAAGGCTTTGGGCGAATCAGAAGCTTGTTATGGGATGCCCTCTACTGGTGGCATGCAAACAATGCAAGGAAACAGTCTATTTTTGTTCAGTGGCTACAAGCAGTTTGCAAACGACTCTACATCCGGAACTTTTCAAAGCGCAGCCTTTGTTTCCCTTCGAACATATTTTAGTGAGACAAACCAAAAGTTTAGCGACGATTTGTCTTTTCGCTTTTTTTCCTCAGTAAATTCTTTCAGCCTTTAAAATGTAAACATACGCGCTCCACTTAAATAAACGAACGTGAAAGCACATTATTTGTATTCGGGATCTAAACGCATTAGGTCTCTGAAGAAGAGGTTCCTCTCATAGACCATTCCGTATGACTTCCTTCCTCTGCCATAACAGACATGTCACATGGGTGAAGTTTTATCTACTCGTATATCCACGAATGGCTCACTGACACATTTATATTGCTGTTTAACCGTGTAAAAATCTGTAATATGGGAAAGAAGAAGACTCGTGGAGAGGGCTCTGGGTTGGGGAGAGCTTTAATAAAGGAGAGACTGAACGCAGGCCGTGGATACAGGAGAAATGACACATGGGTAAGAAATAGTGACAGACTGATCCTGAACTGTTTTCAGTTTTCTTTCACAAGAATATTGCAGAGCTAGTATTGCGCATTTATAAAATACGATCAGAAAATATGACTTATTATTTTGTCACATAAACCATTATTAGGGAACAAACACACGATATGTGTAATGTAACAACAAAGTGCAGCAACAAACATTTATGGATTATTTAAAATATATTTATATTTTTTCCAGTCCATCAACACAATGTCAGTAAGCCAAAACACGTCGACTACAAATGATCTTTAAATGGAATATTTTTCTTTTTGCAAGAGTGTTAAGTTGCTTCAGTAGACGTGAATCTGATTGTATACTAATAGTTGTATGTCTTTTAGCTTCACACCAGTGAGCTGAATGATGGATATGATTGGGGTCGACTCATCCTGCAGTCTGTCACAGAGCAGAGCTCCCTGGATGACTTTCTGGCCACAGCTGAACTTGCTGGAACTGAATTTGTTGCAGGTAGGTGTTGATGATATCTCTGGTATAATTTGTACGAATACTTCTAGGAATCCGGGTTATTGTTGTTAACTAAAACAATTGTTTTATTAATTTAAATGAATCTGAAATGGATTAAAATGGAATAAAATATACAATAAATATTAGAATGGTAGTATTTGAAAAGCTTAAACTAAACAAAAAATGAGAAATGTTGCTTTGGCAACTATCTGAAATAAGGTTAAGGTGAAGCACTAAAATGATTGGACATAAATAAAAGCTAAAACTGAAATAAAATAAACAATAAATACCAATATTTAAAAAAAGAAAAGCACATAACAAAATGACAAAAATTTTACAAAAATTAAAATGGAAATGGAAAATATCAATATAAAAAGTATAATAGTTTATTAATAACAGTAAAATAACACTGTTTGGAACAGAATAATAAATGTGGTGTTGTTTTGCAGAGAAGCTGAACATAAAATTTGTCCCAGCTGAAGCGAGGACCGGCTTGCTTTCTGCTGAAGAGTCCACACGACTGAAGAAACTCCACGAGGACAACAAACAGTTCTTACGAATCCCCCGAAGGTATGTAGTTGTGTAATTAAATGTGATTTCTTTAAACCTGAGTTAAAATTCCATTGATCTGTTGTAGATACACAATTATGCAAAAGCTCATGTATTCAGCCTTGTGTTCCGTCACTGCAGGCCTTCTTGGGATGAGAGCACAAGCCCTGAGGTTCTGCAGCAAAACGAGAGGGACAGTTTTCTTACATGGAGAAGAGAACTGGCTCGGTGAATGTTTGATCAATTTAGTCCAAAGACTAGCAAATCCAATTCTCCAACAGGATAAGTGTTTGTGAACAAATGCACTTTCTGTAATAGGCTGGAAGAGGAACAGAAGTTGATTCTTACCCCTTTTGAGAGGAATCTTGATTTCTGGAGGCAACTCTGGAGAGTTATTGAGAGGAGGTAAGCTTTTGTTAGCATTTGTAATACAATGGACATTTAATTTGTGCTTTTCACTATCTAATCACACTTTGATGTAAGAATCAAAATGGTTTCTTAGAATACAATTTTTTGCTTTATCCTCAGTGATGTTGTGGTTCAAATCGTTGATGCCAGAAAACCGCTTCTCTTCCGCTGTCCAGATCTTGTAAGAAAGACAGTTACACTCACACCTCTTTTCTTTCTTTCTTTCTTTCTTTCTTTCTTACTTAATCATGCTTTAATTTCTGCCTCCACCAGGAAAAATATGTAAAAGAGGTCTCAGTTCACAAAGTAAACATGCTTCTGCTGAACAAAGCCGACCTGCTCACTAGAGAACAGAGGCGAGCTTGGGCCCGATACTTCCAGAAAGAGGGGATCAGAGCAGTGTTCTGGTCCGCTTTAGCTGAGGCACAACGACTCGAGGCAGAGGAGAAGGTAATATATGGATGCACTAAAAGTTATTTTAGTTGTTGATAGTAGGATTGAATTTGGGGTTTGCAAGCTTCAGGTAATATAACTAAAAATGTAGAACAAAAATGTGTTTTTTTTAACCTTGTATTTATCGAAGAATCCACATTTTTCACAAAAATATTAAGCAGCACAACTGTTTTAACATTGATTATAATAATACTGATAAAAAGAAATGTTTCTTGAGCACCAAATCAGCATATTAGAATGATTTCTGAAGGATCATGTGACGCTAGAGACTGGAGTAATGATGCTGACAATTCTGCTTTGCATCACAGGAATACATTACTTTTTTATCTATATTAAAATAAAAACAATTATTTTAAATTGTAATAATATTTCATAATGTCACTGTTTTTATTGTATGTATGCATCAAATACATGCATCCTTGAAAGAGAATTCTTTCTAGGTTTCCATGAACATTTTTTTTTTAAGTATAAATGACACAAATACTTTGTTTTGAATCGATTGGTTATTTTCAAAAGCATTATTTCTTTTAAGAGAACTGTGTTCATTATTCTGTCTCTTTTCCATGTTTGGTGGTTAAGGGAGAAGAGCTGATGGACCAAGAGGATCAGAGTGATACAGAACAGGAAGCAACAGATCTTCATGAGGAGCATAGCACTTCAACAAATGAAGAGAAAGATGAGAGTGTGCAGGATGAAGAAGAGGAAAGTAAAGAAGCAAGAGTCTGTGTTGATGAGACAGAATGGCAAACATGCTCTGAGGAATCAGGAGACGAAGATCATGCTGAGGAGAAACCAGAATCCACAGCGGTTTCATCTTTCTACAACTCGAGCCGTTTGTTACGCAGAAATGAGCTGCTGGAAATATTTAAGTCTGTGCATTCTGGGCTGGCGTGCAAAGATGGACAAATCACAGTTGGATTGGTGAGTTTAAATTACATTTCTACCTTATACCAAACATTGACACTGTCCTTCAGAACTCATGTTCATATTTCAACTCTAAATTCTCTTTAAGGTGGGATATCCTAACGTTGGAAAAAGCTCTACCATCAACACCATCCTGAGGAATAAGAAAGTCTCAGTTTCAGCTACACCTGGACACACAAAGCATTTTCAGGTGAGTATTTTTCGATCTAATTAATGAACAATCCACAAAATTAATTCTTGACATTTTCCACATTTTTGCCCTTAAATCACTCATTCCCTATACATTATAATTTATAATAATTTATAATTTATGCATTTAGCAGACGCTTTTATCCAAAGCGACTTTCAGTGCATTCAGGCTATACATTTTTTACCAGTATGTATTATCTAGCTGTATACCAATAGCTGTCAAGCCATGAGAATCAAGAATTTAGCAACTAGCAATTTAGCAGTCTATGAGCATGTCCTAATTAAAAGGTCTGCATTTATTATTGTAGTTTTATTGACTGTTGGCGTGTCACATGTTTCAG